CCAGTTCAGGACTGCTGGGAGGTACCCATGAGTGACCTGAGTGTTACCTGTCATAAGTAGAAGCTCACAGAAGGTTCCCCTCTGACACACTATGATGAACCAGTCACCCTGGTGGTCCAACCAGTGTGGAACAACCACAGGTCCAAGACATTACCCCAAAGTTTGAGGACATGATTGCAGTAGCTAGGCCAAACCTGAGTGATGATGAATCCTGAGATTTGGAAGGTCTCCTTACAGAGTACAGACACATCTTTTCTATGAAGAGTGATGACTGCGCACAGATCAACAAGAGTGTACCACCATATAGATATGAGAGAGACCCCATGGATTCACCAGCCTCCTAGGAGGATTCCCCTAGCAAAACAGGCGGGACTAGGTGAGATGCTCAATGACATGCAACAATGTGGGGGTATCGAAGAGCCAGACAGCCCCTGGTCATCCCCATTGTTCTTGTATGGAAGAAGAATGGGAACCTTCACCTGTGTGTGGACTACAGGAAACTGAATGATGTCACAAAGGAAGACTACTGCTCTGAATTGACCACACTCTGCCGAAGCTAAATGATTTTCCACTCTGAATTTGAACAGTGATTAGTGGCAGGTGGGTCTGCATCCAGACAATAAAAAATAGTCCAGATAATTCTTTTTCTATGCAGAGTGAACAACGTGCTGACCAAACTACATGGTGGACCATCAGGAGGTCTCTTGGGGGTCAACAAGACCCAGAATGAGGTCCAGCATAGTTACTACTGGCTCCATGCAAGAAACGATGTTGAGAAGTGGTGCCAACAGTGCGACACCTGTGCAGCCAGTCATGGCCCCCGAACCAAGAATTGGGGCCAAATGCATCAGTACAGCATTGAGGCCCTGTTCAAAACAATAGCCATTGATGTAGCAGAGTCCTTCCCTCGGAGCGACCAAGGAAACTGATACCTCCTGACTGCTATGGACTGTTTTACCCAGTTTCTGGAAGCCCACGCCATTCCCAATCAAGAGGCTTCGACAATAGTGGAAGTGTTGCTTACCAACTTCTGCTTCAGAATACTGTTGGAGCTGCATAGTGACCAGGGCTATAACTTTGAGCCCTATTTAATGTAGGAGGTTTTGCTGCTATGAGTGAATAAGACACCACACCACACCCCTCCACCCACAGTCAGATGGAATGGTGAGAACGATACGTCAAAACAGTCAAGGAACAGCTATGAAAAGTTGTTGCATCACACCTGAGGGATTGAGATGCAAGATTACCCTTCTTCCTCCTTGCTTACGTGGCATCCACTCATGACACTACACGCTTAACCTTAGCTAACCTAGTGTTTGGAAGAGAGCTCCAACTGCCCTGCGACCTTCTGTTTGGGGCACTTCCTGCAAGGAACACCCTACAGTCGATCACATGGCAAATCTAGTGGGCCTTCTACATGGCATCCACAGTTATGTCTGCCATTGAGCTGATGAAAACTTGCTATGACAGACTGGACAGCTGCACAGGATACGAGAGTGATGATATGTAGCTCTGTCGGCCCATCCGTACGAGAGGAAAGTCACTCAAGCTTCAATCCCTGTGAGAGGGCCCATACAGGGTAGTTACACAGATGAATGATGTGTACAGGATCCAGTGGAACCCTAAATCTAGGATGATGGACGTACATCTGGACCAACTCACACCTTATCAGAGTACTGCTCGGGATGAGTGGCTTTAAGGTGGAGCAGCAGGAGCAGTTCCAGCATAATCACTGTGAGGACTGAGCCACAGGTAAGGAAGGTGAGGCCAATCACAGACATCACAAACACAGCCCTCAGGAAAGAAGAAATGATGGTATAGCCTTAAGGAGGGAGCATATACTGTGTGTACCCATTGCTAGTCAGCAACCGTGAAATAATCAGCTATAAAACAGTCGTTGCTAGGTAATGGCCTCAACAGTGGAGGAACTGTTGGAGGTGGTGTTTTCTGTGTGGCAGGTGCTGAGGCTGTATAACGAGGAGCAGATGTTATTACGTGAATGTCTTGAGATGGCAGAATATTAGGAGTTAGTAGTGAGACACTCGCTAGCCAGTAAGGGTGTGAACATGGAAGCTGAGGAATCTACAGTATTAAAGCCATTACCGGGTGACAACCGGTGAAGATACAGCAGAGTGAGAAGACTGTAATGAATTGTAGAGTGTGTGAATGAGCGATAGTGCTGTAGGTACTTCTAATAACAATCTGTAAATGTTCAGTAAATCCAATTCCCAATTCAAACCCCATCTATAGTTACTCATACACATGGCAATATATTTGCTGAAGAGTACAATTATGAGTTTGCTTATTATGCAGATTTTTCTGGCCTCCTTTCACTTACCCTGTCTGAAGGCCAGTGTTCTTAGACATCCTCAGTTTATATTGTCTCTTCCTTGCATAAGAGAACAAGTTTCATTCACATATAAAATACTATGCAGAATTTTAAGCATGGCTTTAAGGATAACATTAAATATATATGTCTCAAAGAAATTAAATATTAGGATATGGATGGGAATCATGTGGCTCTGTATGGCATACAGTTGCAGGCTATTGTGAATATTGCAGTGAACAGTTCCACAACATGTGTGGAAATTGCATGGCTATCTAAGTGACTACTGTGTATTCAACAATGGCTGTGATTAATGGAGCGAGTCTAGAAATTTTTAATAAAGGAATTAAGGAAGCTACAGAAACTGAAACAATTCTTTAAGCAGAACAGTTCATAAAATCACAAGGAGTGTGTGCAAACCAAGATGTCCATTTCATGCTTGTAAATTAGTAATAGTGGACCAGATGTATGTTATACTTTGAGAGTTTATAGTGGTAACTGTGGGAGCCCACAGTGTGGTCTGATTTCTGTATCTAAAGAATACTCCTAGTGGATATGAACTGTCATGACCTTTCAGACGCAGAGGGTCATTTTCTTATAAATGCACATCTCTTCAAAGGAGTGTATGAAAAATATAATGCCTCTGCCATTTAGTTTCTTCAGTCTGATGGATATTATTTTATTTATTTTTTAACTGCAAATGGGTTTTTTACCCACTGGCAGTGGTACTACAATAAGACACAACACACAAATAACACACATCACACAAAATAACACACTACACACAAGGCATACAGTGCAAATACGATTACAACTACAATTATATAAATTAATTTTAATAAAACAATAAGCATACTATACAATAAACAGTAACAGTAATAAAATACGTAATGTCACAAACTGATGCACTCACACTTCATCATGGCCTTCCATTCATTCCACTTCACTGCACTTATGCACCCTTCACATCACCCTTCACATCCTCACCACAATTTACTTCCTTTCACCACATTTCACTTCATTTTTGGATGATTTCCCACCCACACCTTCACTTAGCCTCATTTATCACTTTCCTAACCCTTTTCCTAAAATTACTTGGTTTACAGGAGAGCCTCCCCTAAAGCATCTGCAGGTAGTTTGTTCCAGAGCTGGATGGTCCTATTTACAAAGGAATATTTTCTGATATCTGTCTTTTGCTTTCTACTCCCAGTTTTCCTATCATAATCGACCCTGCTCAGATAGCATGGTCTTTGTAATCTATCACCTATTGCCTTCCAAGCTTGTTCTCCCATGTACACTTGGAAGAGAGCACATGTGAACTATCTTTCTGCGCTGTGTCAAGGTTTCCCAGTTCGAATCATTTCTGTGATGTGCAAATTTAGCCACTATGTTTTGCAGTGAGTCTAGCGCATTTATCTGTTCCTTCCTATAAGGATACCAGCACACTGCCCCATATTCAAGAATCGGACATACTAGTGATGTGTAGGCTAAACTTTTAGTGTTACTATTTCCCTTCTTGCTGGTCATGGTAGCCAAGCAGTCTAAGGCATGTACTCTCTTCGCTCGCTTGGTAGCCAGGATTGTGGGTTCCTATCACACACAAGGCATGGATGTTTAGTATATGTATGTGTTTATTCTGTGTTTGAGTTGTCCTGTGTTTAGGTAGACACCTTGTGATGAGCTGATCACTCATCCAAGGAGTCCTACCATTTGTAGGATGGGCTAGGGCCCAAGGGTGCTGTAGAGCCAGGGAAAAGAAAATTCCCTTTTGAAGAATATGCATTCTAGAATGAAGTGCCTTCCAGGCTTTTTTCACCATGTAATTAACTTTATCTGTCCAACCTAAATCACTGCATAAAATTATTCCCAGGTATTTACAGCTGCTCGCTTCCAGAATTACTATGTCCCGTAATCAATAATTTAGTGGTTCTATCATCTGGGCTCTCATGAAACCAACTGCCTTGCTTTTAGCTGGATTAATTACCATCACATTTTCAACTGCGCCCTCACCCAGCCTGTTCAGATCTATCTGCAAATTTTCCATATCATTATTATTTATAACTTTCCTGTATATTAAACAGTAATGTGCGAAAAGTCTAATAGTTGTCTCAGTATTTCTCCAAATATCATTTACATACACAAGGAACAGTAGTGGGCCCAGTGCACTTCCTTGTGGTACTCCTGACATTACGCTGACTTCCCCCAATAACTGCCCTACTCTAACTCTCTGTGTATGGCCCAAAAGGAATTCCCTTATCCATACAACTGCCCTCGAGTCCACTCCCAAAGCCACAATTTCCATAAGCAGCTAATCATGGGGAACTAAATTTAAAGCCTTCAAAAAATCTATTGTAGTACCATATATCCTACCTCCCTTATCCAGTGAGTGGAATGTCCTGGCAAATCATGATTACTTAACTTTCACATCAATGTTCCAGCCTGAATCCATGTTAACCCTCAAATAACCAATCCAAAGTTATTTTTTTCCTTCAAGTAATGTAGCATCTGTTATTTTATGAAAGTTTTCCAGTGTTATATTCGCAAAATTTTAAAACTGATGTTAAAATTTTTTCTGTATTCGTATTCAAACTTTTGTGTTGAAGGTCTAGAATTTTCTATAATGAACTTCATATTATTTAGGCACACAAAAATATGGTTAATTTGTTAATTACAGTTGTTACACCTGAAGTCCAACAAATACCTGACAGTGAACAAACGATTACCGGCACTGTTGGAAAAGAATGCCATGAGGGTGTACCTGGATGCAAATGGAAATGAAGGGTCTTGGTTTTATATTCTGCCTTTCTACAAGCTGCGTGCCACAGGGGATAATGTGGTTGTTGGAGACAAGGTTATCATGAATCCAGTGAATGCAGGCCAACAAGTACTCCATGTGGCAGCCAATTATGAGCTCTCTGATAACATTGGTTGTAAAGAAGTAAGTCACTGTATAAAATAATAATCCTTTAATGCCACAAAGCATATTTTTGGCTGCAGTTTTGAATGTCATATTTACATACATAAATAGGTCCCTGTCATATATAGGTTGCCAGGTTGGTTATATACAGTTTCTGACTTAAGAAGTTGTTTGCCTTCCTTTATGTGTGTACTCCTTCATTATATCATAAATGTGTAGCTTATACGATGAAACAGTTATTCTTATGAGCCATTAGCATACTTCATTGAGCCTTGCTTTTCACCCATTTTCTTCTAGTTACATTTTTATTTATATCTCATATACGTGGGGCAATCCAAAAGTTTCCGAAATTTGAAGTTTTCACACGAATGGTTATGAGTACATTGAAATACCGCTAGGTGTCTCCTCACACATCCTTCTTGAATCAATGTGGCAAGCGGCGTCAAGTTGAGTGGTTGGGTTTATTGTTGGTGAACGTATTTCCATTGTTTTGTTTCCGTGAGTGCCATTTTGTGATGGCTGACCTGAGAGAGCAGCGTGTCTGTATAAAGTTTTGTTTCAAACTTGGGAAAACCGCTGCAGAAACACACCAAATGTTGAAGCAAGCTTTTGGTGACAACATTTTAGGCCAGACACACACTTACGACTGGTATAAGCGTTTCAAAAATGGCTGAACATCGACTAATGATGACGACCATTCGGGACGGTCATCAACGGGCAAAACACCAGAAAATGTCGTGAAAGTTAGGGATCTGATTCTGCAAGATCGTAGACTGACCATCCAAGACCTCTGTAACACCTTGGGACTAAGTTATGGTACATGTCAACGAATTTTGTCAGAGGAACTGAACATGAGGA